TGCATTTTCATTACTTTGGTTCATTACAAACATAATTTCGAAACATCCTTTGGTTTCCATCGTTCCATTAAGATAAGAGCATTCATCACTCAACTTCTCATTGTAAAAGAAGCCATTTTAGTCGTCTAAAAACTTGTAAATAAGGAGTAGAAAGGTTTTAAAAAGTCATTAGAAGTTTTTCATACTCAAAAAATTATTTTAAAGAAAGGAATTATCTAAGTAATGTTATTATCTACGGAAATGAACTGTATTTCATTACCTTCGCGTAAAGACACGCTTTCGATAAAAATGGTGCTTTTGATGTGCTACATATTGCTAAGCGCGATGATGTCTTTTTGTTTAGTACATTTCAAAAAGCACTTAAGTCTCAATTTCATACTCAACAGATATCTTCTAGTCCAGCAAAGTAAAAAAAAATTGAAAAGTATAATTTTGAAAACGGTTCAAAATTGACACCATTCAAACCGACGACTACAAAGCAATGATATTTTCACTGTAGTTAACTGCTGCCAGTGCAGTGACCGCGAAAAAAAATGGGTGAAAGAAATCTCGTTTTTTAAAGTTTTTTAAAGTTCCAGAAGGTAAATGAGACGAGTTCAAGAAATTTGAAAATACATAGAGAATTGATCCCTTGAAAAGAAGTTTTAGCATGGCCAATTGACAATAAAACAGCTTCTAAAAAGAAAAACATCAGTTTTTCAAAGCTATCTTTGTGCAATCCACTTGTCAAAGTTTATTTTGCCGCTTCAAGAAAAGTCGTCTGAAATGAACTAAAAGTGAAATCTTTTCTTATACTTCATTGTATTGTCAGCCTTTTAAAAGGAAAAATATTGCTTAAACAAGCAGTCAAAAATTATAGCCATTACTTGATTTCCTCTAGAGAATTAATTACAGAAGCAACATGAAGTCGTTATCGCTCAGACAGATCGACATTAATTCCTGGAGATTAACAACAAAAGACAACTATTCTAAATTTAGATAATTGCTTCATGAGCGAAAAGATTTTTGGCTGGAACTGGAGATTCCCGAAAATCAGAAGAAGGAAAAAACTCATTGTGAAAAAGCCGTATTTAAACAACAGTGGCAATATTTAGTTACTGTTTAAATAATTTGGAACTTTTAAATACATCCTTATAAAGTAAATAAGCATTGAATTTTAAAGCTTTCTGAAAAGTTGATAAATTTTCTCGTGACAAAGAAGGATGATGGCTTATTTCATTTGATTTAGCTTTTAATGTCATAAAGCTACCTATAAGCTTATCTACTCTCGCAAAGTCGTATATGTATCTATAGTACTGGGCGAAGGAAGTGCATTCACCGAGGCGCTATAATAATTGTGCTGCAACGAACTGCAAGATTTTCAAAAAGTTGATGCACCGGCGGTTGTCAGAAGCATCTGTTCAATACTGGCAGAAGTGAGACCAGACAACTTATGCTCTCATACTTTGGGAAAAGGGAAGGACTGCTTTTGTAAAACACCGAAGGATGTCTGGAATTATTACCGGACCGCTGCACATCAGGTATACGGGAGAGTCTCCTGCATTTTTGATAAGGCAAGAACTATACTGCCTTCGGCTGTTGATATGAAGCGGTCCTCGTCGGGACGATTGGCAAATTTCCGACTGCGGTTTCGTTGTTGCTGTTTGTTCCATCTTCTTCGGCTGTTTACTTTGTCAGTGGAAATTTCTGGATAATTGAGTCAAGTTGCCGATCCTGCTTGTTCGGGTTTTGGGGCTTTTTGTTGCTATAGTTATGTTTGGGTTTTAAAGTTGACAGCCACAAAAGAGGGCTTGTTATATTTTATTTGGTTTGTCTTTGACCGTTCAAGATTAGTTTAATCGCTTTTGATATTTTGTTTTTTTTTTCGGTTATTTTAGACGTCGTATGATAATAACTCATTGAATGACTCTGTATCTTCGGTTTCTCTAAGCTTTTTTTGAAATTTGATAGTGTTTTTCTCTATTCAACAGTTTGTAATGAAGAAACCAAAACTTTGTTCTTTGGATTGTCAAATGTTGGGAACATTAGAAATGAATCCCACCTTTTGCTGATGTTTAGAGTCGTTTGATCTTTTTTTTTCCGCCCACAGCGAAATAACAATTTTTTGTAGCCGAAATAATCAGGTATGAGCGGTACAGCAAAAAAGAAAAGTGCTGGTAAAAAAAAAGGTAATATTTTAGGCCTGCACCTATCTTTGACTTTTATACTATTTATTTGGAATTCTCTTAAATTCTTCGCATAGCATTCATCTTTTAGACGAATTTAGGCCAAGAAAATATCGAAGATATTGATGAAATCTTGAGGGAAGTTGAGTTAGAGTCAAAAAAGAAGGAAATGAATCATGCCAAGTCTAGTAAAAAAGGTGCCCATAAAGGTACGTTTGACGACATTTCCACCTGCGTGTCTTTTTTTTTTTTTTT